GGGGGCGTAGGGAATATAACGCGTGGAATTACGCCGCGTGGAGATGCAACGCGTGGAAATAGGGGCGTAAGGGATATAACGCGTGGAATTACACCGCGTGGAGATTCAACGCGTGGAAATTCGGGGCGTAAAGGATATGACGCGTGGAAATTTGGGGCGTAGGGGATATGATGCGTGGAAATAGGGGGCGTAGGGAATATAACGCGTGGAATTACGCCGCGTGAAGATTCAACGCGTGGAAATACGGGGCGTAGGGGATATGACACGTGGAAATAGGGGGCATAGGGAATCTAACGCGTGGAGATTCAACGCGTGAAAATACGGGGCGTAGAAGATATGACGCGTGGAAATAGGGGCGTAGGGAATATAACGCGTGGAGATTCAACGCGTGGAAATAGGGGCGTAGGGAATATAACGCGCGGAAATACGGGACGTAAATCCCTCTCTAAATCCCTCTCCAAATTCTCAGATTTCCAAAATTATCTCCAGCACCCACTGTTTACCCCAGCATCCAGAAATTAACGTAGTTAACCGAATCCTCTTTTCCTCAAAATCTCAGCCTAAAGATCCGTATTCGTAGAGAGTCGAAACACGGTATTCGAATTCGAGTTTTCCTTTAGCCCGCGTCTTATTACCTATTCAGAGTGGCTCGTTGCAGACGTTATTCTCGCAGGGTGGCTCGTAGCCTCGTTTTTCCTGCAGGTTTTCCATTATTCCTAGTGAAAAGCCGTAGCGAAGAGCGTCAAAGTCGGTCGCGTAGCTGTAACTTCCGGCGTGCTGGCGGTAGTTACACGGGCTTGAAAGTTTAAGCTTCCCTCGTCCTCCTGTCAACCGAACGTGACACGCGTACCCCTCCAACTGCTTCGTCGCCTTATCGCGCCACCGCGCTAAATATTTGATATCGTATCCTTATCGGTGTAAGAGGCGAAAATCCCTTACCGTCGCCAAAGGAATAATGCGCCTTCTTGTCGGGAGCACATCCGAACCTTTCAACTCTGTCTACTCTTTTCGAATTTGAATAACTCTTGGAACGCGTCCACTACGGCCAGCTTTTTCTCTTTTTTTGCTGTTGAAATCGGGACGGTTGTTCAGCGAACGAACCGTGAGAAAACTAACACGCCTGTTGTTCTTTCCCCTTTCTGATTTATTTACCCGCTTTTTTCTTCGAGTTGAATTTACGGATTCTCGGTGGATGTTTGGAGGATGAATCGATATTAGAAAAATTACAAAATTAAATTATAAAATGAAATTATAAAATGAAATTACAAAATGAAATTACAAAATGAAATTATAAAATGAAATTATAAAATGAAATTATAAAATGAAATTATAAAATGAAATTATAAAATGAAATTATAAAATTAAATTACAAAATGAAATTATAAAATTAAATCACAAAATTATATTACAAAATGAAATTATAAAATGAAATTGTAAAATTAAATTACAAAATTATATTACAAAATGAAATTATAAAATGAAATTATAAAATTAAATTATAAAATTAAATTATAAAATGATATTATAAAATTATATTACAAAATTAAATTACAAAATTATATTACAAAATTAAATTATAAAATTAAATTATAAAATGAAATTATAAAATTAAATTATAAAATTAAATTATAAAATTAAATTATAAAATGATATTATAAAATTATATTATAAAATTATATTACAAAATTAAATTACAAAATTATATTACAAAATGAAATTATAAAAAGAAATTATAAAATAAAATTATAAAATTAAATTACAAAATTAAATTATAAAATGATATTATAAAATTATATTACAAAATTAAATTACAAAATTATATTACAAAATTATATTACAAAATGAAATTATAAAAAAGAAATTATAAAATGATATTATAAAATTATATTACAAAACTAAATTACAAAAAGAAATTATAAAATGAAATTATAAAGTATAATATATTAAAGCTACTTCCAAGTGTCTAATGTCTACGAGACGAGTAGCAGAGTACACCGATATTTTCCCTAGAGAAGCATAAGGTGTTCGATAGGGTACCGGAAGGACGTACCAGCGAGAAAAGCACGGTAGATTTTCTTGCCGGGAACGAGTCACAAGTTTCGAGCACCCTAACGCTTCTCTTATTGTTATATACGAGGAAAGTACTTGGCCGGAACGGCGAAAAACTCGTTTTTCTTCTCGTGCATGCCTCGGAACGCGTTCTCGGAACAACTTCCTCTCACCTGAGCTGCTTCACGATATCCGGCCAGCTTCGCGCGAGAATTCGCTTTCGAACATTTTTCTGCTCCTTTTTCTTGCCCCTTCAAACTATTCACTTGGACGGTGTGAAGCGCGATGTGAAAACCATCAACGTTTAAAGCGAACATTTTTCTGCTATTACTTATTATCGGTAACCGCGTTATTCGCTCTTAAAAGAATATAAAACATATTTCAAAAATTCGTGTTATTATCAAAGTACAGTATTATTATCACATAAGTTTACGCATTATTATTTACCGTCCAGAAGAATAATAAAATAAAAGTAAGATGCAGAATAGCAGATTGTTACTCACAGAATGTAAACTTTGCAACAATGACCACAAGTACAAGTTCAAGTCATCGATCTTCGCAAGTCGAAACCGAACAAGGCACGATTCGCAGATTGAACGTCAACAAAAACACACTTCGCTTCTCTCTCGTTCTTTCATCCCTTCCTTGTAAGTCCCGAGACTCTGGCAAATTATTTACTCTTCCGTTCGCGGTACTTGTGCACTCGGAAACATTCGCTGAAATAAAACAGAAAGAAGAAAACGGCTCGCACAGCGGCTAGATAAGTACAACTTTCATTTATTAAACACGGTTGCTACTAAATAATAAAAACTATATTCCCTAGCTTATTTCACCGTACATCTCACGTCGGAAATATAAGAAATTAAGTAGATATTCGTGCATTCACGATTCAGTAGTGTTACGAGAAATATACCTGACAGCAAGTGTATTTTATTCCGAAAATAGTTACTATAATTTCGGGGTTTAGGGAATTCGGGATCTAGGGATTTTGGGGTTTAGGGATTTCAAAGTTTAGGGAATTCGGAGTCTAGGGATTTCGCGATCAAGGGAATTCGAGATCTAGGGAATTCGGAGTTTAGGGAATTCGGAGTCTAGGGATTTCGGTGTCTAGGGAATTCGGGATCTGTGGAATTCGGGACCTAGGAAATTCGGAGTTTAGGAATTTTGGGGTCTAGGGATTTCGGAATCTAGGGAATTCGGAGTCTAGGGAATTCGGGTTCTAGGGAATTCGGAGTCTAGGGAATTCGGGATCTGTGGAATTCGGGATCTAGGGAATTCGGAGTTTAGGAATTTCGGAATTTAGGGAATTCGGAGTCTAGGGATTTCGGTGTCTAGGGAATTCGGGATCTACAGAATTCGGAGTTTAGGAATTTCGGGGTCTAGGGATTTCGGAATCTAGGGAATTCGGGTTCTAGGGAATTCAGAGTCTAGGGAATTCGGGATCTGTGGAATTCGGAATCTAGGGAATTCGGAGTTTAGGAATTTCGGGATCTGTGGAATTCGGGATCTACAGAATTTGGAGTTTAGGAATTTCGGGGTCTAGGGATTTCGGGATATAGGGATTTCGGGGTTTACGGAATTCGGAGTATGGGGAATTCGATATCTAGGGAATTCAGTGTCTAGGGATATCGGAGTTTGGGGATTTTGGGTTCTAGGGAATTTCGAAATCTAGGGATTTCGGGGTTAGGGGATTTCAATGTTTAGGGAATTGGGAGTCTAAGAATTTCGGGATCTAAGGATTTTGGTGTCTAGGGAATTTGAGATCTAGGAATTTTTATGTCTAGGGAATTCGGGGTCTAGGAAAGTAGGGGTGTAAGGATATCAGTGTCTAGGGATGTCGGGATCTAGGGAATTCGAGATGTAATAATATCGGTGTCTAGGGATGTCGAAATCGATGGATAACATGGTCTAGGGATATTAAAATGTGAAGATACTATAATCTAGGTACCCAGATATATAGAAACTAAAAAATCTTTTAAGACATTATGGTCTAGTGATATCTATAGATATTAATATAGAAGACTCTAGAATGTATTTCTATTGTTCCTTTATCACAGTCTACATAATTATCCTAGGAAAAGCATATAGAACCACTATATTTTATTATGGTCATGATATACGATCAACAGAACCAGCAGTTTCGTTCTTTTTTTAATTACAGTAAGTTAATATAACGATCCAGGTAATTTCAGTTCGGTCCATAATAGCGTAAAAACGTCGCTCCTATCGAATGAGGCGACAATTCGATGGACGAAAACCGAGTTTTCGGGGCCAGTCGATGTACAATTAGCAGGTCGAAGTTTAACTTGCAAATATGGAGACGGGAGCTCTGGGTCAGATCGATTCGTTTCCGAGCGTCCAATTAATTCCCGCTCACGGAAATTCCACGGGCATGACGCGTCGTCAAATTCAATTTCGCAGGAGCCTGACGCTGCTCGCTGATGATCCATCTATCTGTCTCTCATACATGGGAATAGAATCTTATTTTAATGAGCTGCGTCGGGCCGAAATAAAGAACCGTCCTAACGGTTCCTAAATCCAGCTGATTATTCAAAACCTTTCTTCTTGTCGTTTCGGTAGTTATTATTGTATTGACATTTACAAATTTATAGGATTTCAAATTTTTATATTCTTTGATTTTTTGAATTTTAAAATCTTTCAATCTTTTTTCTAGAAAAAGAATTTTCTTTTTTGACAGTAAACACAGATTTTAAAAGATCGACACAATTTCTAAAAGATTTATAGAGATTTCAAAATATCTTCACTTTGTGACTTCAAATAAGGAACTTGTCAGTCGGCCATTTTGACCGGTGTAACATTAAGCATTAGAGGCACAGCGGTTCCGAAATTTGCAACATTTTCTACGAGTTGAAAATCAGCCTTTTCTAAGATCACTGCGCCCTCTCTAGTTGCCGGTGGTGTCTCTCGCGTGTTAGTTGATTCGTGCTTGATCGAGATCGGTTGCACGCGGTCGCTTCGTAAATACGTGTATTCGTTATATCAAATAAATTGAAGTTGGTTTAGTGCACTCGTGTTATTTATCTCATCTCTAATCTCAATACTAGTCAGATTTGCTCTCGACTGTACAATCGTCCGCAAAAATTGGCATATTGAAATTGTGGGTAGTGGCGGCTCGATGCAAGAAGAAGCCGCAGCCAGCAGCTAACAGTTGCGGCACCCTCGTAACCCAATTTAGAAGAGGACACAAAAGAGTATTCGGTGATATTGAGCCGTGAGATGCGACCTACTTGCAAACCGACCGACCGTTTCTGCCTTACCTTTTCCTCTTCTTCTTCTTCCTCCTTCGAGTCCGTGTGTTTTGCGCGCCCTTCTTTCGCGATACTTTACGCTAACTCTACATATTATCGAAACACGTTTCGACTTTTACTCTTTGGCAAACTGCATCGGTGACGCTGTAAGAACTAACCTTTACTTCGATATATATTCACGACTTATACTTGTCGGTGATGTTACGTGTTTCGACTGATTTATTGTTTTAATTATGCAGCGTGATTCTGTTGTGATATTGCAGTGATACGTCAATTTATGCAACATGGCGTCGTACGATATCGTTAGGGAATCGAACCGCGGTCGATATCGTAATCGAAGTATCGAGTGACAAGTGCGTAGTTAGTCGTTTTCCCTCCTTTTTTGTGTCCGTTGCTTCGTGCGTGCTTTGCTGACGTTCCTGTTTTCATTTAATTTGTAAGTAGATATTTATAACGTATAATTTGTAACATTATTAAATAAAGTTCAGTGTTATAAATAATCCGATACATATCATATGTTTAATAAGCTCCTGTTGAAAGTATAGGTTATAGGTACATACGTGTATTTCTCACTACAAGTGGTTCAATATTTTCAGATAAAATAAATTATGCAAATATCCATAATTATGAATAATAAAATAAGTTCATTTATTCGTATAATATTATCAGAAAGTGATAAAATAGTAAGTGGATTTCGCTGTACAGTAATTTCCGATAAAAGACAATGTATTGTTTATCCGTGAAAGATCGATAAAGTAGAATAATTGTTCTTTCCGTGGTTAATCGGTCGGTGTTTCCGAAGGGATTAAAAAAGGGAGACAGAAAAAGGCGCTTACCGAGTTGCCAACTTGTAATCACGATAACTAAACGGAATATCGACAAGTTGCGGTCGATGGACCTTTTTTTCTGTTTTTCCTTTCGAGACACTGATGGATGAAGGTCTTAGGGCCGAAGCAATAGATCATCGGGTATCAGTCGATCAAACGGCGCTTTCTCGACGATAAGACGAGTTGATTCCTGATTTCATTTGAATTCCCTTACAGCGTGCGTGTGTAATACCAAAGCTGGGAATCTCAATATGTATTATAATACATTCTGACATGCTTCGTTGTATATTTTACACTTTCAAATTTATTAAATTCACGAGGTTGTAAATCAGATAATTCTAAATTATCATATTTTTATACTTCAAAATTTATTCATTATACATTCAGAATTTCTGATATCGAAATTTTCAAATTCTCGATATGTTAAATATTATAGTACGAAAATTTTGAACTGTTCATGTTTTTGAAGTTTAAAATACAATTATAAATTATAGATCACGAAATTTTCATATCACTAGATTTCCAAAGTAAAGTTCCTATAGCCAACACCATATATTCTATACCCTATAGTTCTCAACACTCAAGTTTTTATATCCTCAAGTCTCTATGTTGTCAAATCCCTAGATTTCAAAAATCTCTGGATTCCAAAAATGTCTGGTTTCAAAAAGGTCTAGATTCTAGAAGTACCAAGATTCCATACATCCCTAGATTCAAGAAGGTCTAAATTCCAAAAGTACCTGGATTCAAAAAATCCCTAGATTCCACAAGTACTTAAATTTAAAAAATCCCTAGACTCAAAAAGGTTTAGATTCCAAAGGTACCAAGATTCCATAAATCTCTAGATTCCAAATATGTCTAGCCTCAAAAAGGTCTAGATTCCAGAAGTACCAAGATTCCATACATCCCTAGATTCAAAAAGGTCTAGATTCCAAAAGTACCTAAATTCAAAAAATTCCTAGATTCCACAAGTACTTAAATTCAAAAAATCCCTAGACTCAAAAAGGTCTAGATTCCAAAAGTACCAAGATTCCATAAATCCCTAGATTCCAAAAATGTCTAGCATCAAAAAGGTCTAGATTCCAGAAGTACCAAGATTCCATACATCCCTAGATTCAAAAAGGTCTAAATTCCAAAAGTACCTGGATTCAAAAAATCCCTAGATTCCACAAGTACTTAAATTCAGAAAATCCCTAGACTCAAAAAGGTCTAGATTCCAAAAGTACCATGATTCCATAAATCCCTAGATTCAAAAAAGTCAAGATTCCAAAAGTACCTACATTCCAAAAATCCCTAGATTCCAAAAGTGCTTATATTCCAATAATCTCTAGACTCAAAAAGGTCTATATTCCAGAAGTACCTAAACTCAAAAGGGCCAAGACGCCAAAAGTCCCTAGATTCAAAAAATCCCTAGATTAAAAATTCCTAGAATCCCAAATTATTATTAGATTTCAAAACCCCCGATCAAAAATCTCTAGATCCAAAAAATCCATAGATTTAAAAATCACTAGATTCTCAACTCCGAGCTACTCAAGTTACTAAATTACAAATCTCTAGATATCGCGGATTACTAATTAAAAAAATCCCTAGATTTTGCTCGATTTTTATGTCCATATAAATTTTGAAATTCTTAGTTCGCCTAAAAATTAAAAAATTTAAAAAGCTCTTCGTCGTCGGTTGTCATATTTTGCCTAAAGAAGGTATTTCTGTTGACCGTGCTCGAGTATCGGTTATCCAGGGATCACACGGTATAAAAGTGCAGCCGAGATTTCGCAGGGAAGCAAACGGACGAATCAGCGAAAGAAACGAGAAGAGACGTCTCGGGCGTCGAGGAGAAATCGTGCAAAATGAAGACAAAGAGGAGGAAAAAAGCGAAACGGGATCCGTCCGCGATCTCCTTTATTCGCGGATAATTGAATATCAGAGGGGCTGGCGAGATAGTAAGAGGCGATATTCCGAGGGAATGTTGGCATCCAGTATCCGTGGTAGCCCGGATGAAGTCCACCCCCGCGTTCCCCGGATCGAAAGCAGGCGATTCACGAGAGAATGCTTCTCGCCAATGGAATCAATTCAACCGCCGGCTGCTTCGGCTCATGGAAAATTAAATATCCAAGCTTTTGCCCGTCCCCCGGTCTCGTTCGGGTCCTCGGAAAATTTCTGCGATTCGATAGAAAGGACGTCTTCGTCGTTATCGATGGATACCTCGACGTCTTTGAGGTGATCCATCAGGTTTACCGCGAGAGAGGAGCCGCTCGATTTTCGGTCAGAATTACGATTTTCCCGCAGACTGTTTGAAAAGAAATTCATTCCTCTTTATCCGCTCAATCTTTTCAAATTGTCTGAAACCCCTTTGATTCGCGACCACAACCTCTCTCGGTGCTGTCTTCCTCCGCTGCGACGGATTTATGGTAGTTTGTTCAATTCTGTGGAAAAATAACGTTTAGAGTGGCTGGAACTGCGGTGGTTCGTCTTATTTGCGGTTACCCGTTGCCTCGCCCTTTCGGACCTCTCTCGATGGACGAGCGAACATTTTTCTTACGGACGGCATTTTGTTCTACGAGAAATAATGTTCCGAACAATTACCGTGCTTCTGCGAGACGGTTCTCTTAGCTTGTTGTTTCTGAGAGCCGGACAAACATGCTTGTAATCTTAATACACTGACATCGCGATAACTGTAAGACATTTTAATTTCTCTCTGCTACAAGAGAAATCTCTACGTAAGTCTACAACGCACTTTAACTTTAATTATTTACCACACGTATGGTTTAGGAAAAATAAGATTACACCTTCATATGATTCTTCATACCCCTTCTTCTCGCGTTGCGTTACGTCAAAAGATATCTCGGAATCATTGACAAGAATCGCAGCGGAAGATAAAAGAAGAAAAGTCTACAACTCACTTTAACTTTAATTATTTACCATACATATGGTTTAGGAAAAATAAGATCACACCTTTATATGATTCTTCATACCCTTTCTTCTCGCGTTGCGTTACATCGTAAGATATCAGGGAACCATTGACAAGAATCGCAGCGGAAGATAGAAGAATAAACGCAATGGATCGACGCGAAATTACATGAGAAATACGGGGGCCGATGTCTCACGGAACCGAAATCGCAGTATCGAAACGCTCTGGCACCCAATGGCGCAGAAACCTGTTCAACCGTAGAGAACGCGATAACGACGATTCCGCGATACAACAAAATCCTGCTTTACATTCGCGACAAACTGCTGACCAAAGAACTCGTAACGCTTCGAGAACGTAATCGTTCCGAGCACGAGATATTCTCGACTTTCGTGACTCGAGTTCCCGCGCGCAGGGCACACTTTCCACCTTACGTGGACTTAAATCAACCATTACGTTCGATCCAATCATTTTTTCGCCTTTTACCGGCCCTTTTTACCTTTGCTTTGCATAACGTGGACTATTGACGAAATTATCATCCTCATAGAAGAATCGGAATACTTTGAACAGAAGTATGTGCAGTGAAGTGCAATGTAGACTTTGGATAGACAGATTCATGAAAAATTTGTAAGTCCACAGATTTTTGTTAACCCTTTGCACTCGAAGGTAATTTGACTGCTTGCGAACAGTAACTTTTAAACTTAAGTTGAAAAGTTAAATGAATTCTTTTGAGGTTACTATTTCTTTACTAATAATTTCCACTATTGTTTGTTTCACTGTGTTTATACATCACACGTTTCATATTATAAAATCAGTTAAAAAATGTTTGTTTCAAATTATTATATTAACCCTTTGCACTTGAAGGTAATTTGACTGTTTGCAAACAGTAACTTTTAAACTCAAGTTGAAAAGTTAAATGAATTCTTTTGAGGTTACTATTTCTTTACTAATAATTTCCACTATTGTTTGTTTCACTGTGTTTATACATCACACGTTTCATATTATAAAATCAGTTAAAAAATGTTTGTTTCAAATTATTATATTAACCCTTTGCACTTGAAGGTAATTTGACTGTTTGCAAACAGTAACTTTTAAACTCAAGTTGAAAAGTTAAATGAATTCTTTTGAGGTTACTATTTCTTTACTAATAATTTCCGCTATTGTTTGCTTCACTGTGTTTATACATCACACGTGTCATATTATAGAATCAGTTAAAAAATGCTTATTTCAAATTATTGTATTAAATAAAATGGTGACTGAGAGTCACCTTTCAAAGGGTTAATTATTAAATCCATAGATCTTCAGATTCTTGCATCAAATTTTTAGACCTGCAAACGTTCATAAATTCCAAAGTCCCTGGACGTCAAAACTCCTTCAGCCAAGTAACAGATCGTAAAAATCAACATAACTTGTTCCTAAAACCCAGCGGAACGGGAAGTCTCTTCCAGATCGTCGTTTTTCGTCGGGAAGCCGAGATTGGCCGCTGACCGCAGCTTATCGTTCGATCAAAACAGCGCGTAAAAACAGAGCGTACTTCTGTCTAGACTTCCCGACAAAAGGTTGAGCAGTTCATCGTGGAAAGTTTGCTCGAAACAACGTTTGCAATTTCTTCGAGAAGTTTTTTCAATTTTCACGAGCGAGATTCGAAGGCCGGTGAAAAATGAACTCTATCGCGAGGTTCGCCCGTTCGTTTATTCGTCCGTTAGA